ACAGGAGGAGAGCTAGTAACGTTAGCAGCACCGCTAACAGCTAACCAACAGGAGGAGAGCTAGGAGCTAGTAACGTTAGCAGCACCGCTAACGGCTAACCAACGGAGGTTCACTTCAGTTACATTATGATGCCTTCAGGCTCTGCTCAGTGAACATGAGTACTGGCTGAAGGTACATTATAACGTTATGATGTGTTCACATGTCATCTGTAAAATGTAGTTTTGGTGATAAACTAGAATGAATCCAGTAGTTTGAAGGAGATGTTTTCACATGAATATAAAATAGATATTAGAGATGAATTATGAGCTGTACCTTTTAACTACTAGCCCTATTTTTAGCCCTCTGCTCGAAAATTGCATACCCACACTCAAGAGAGTAAACTACCCAAACTACAAGGTCTATTTTAATAATTTTGATGGTCTATACAGGTAACACTTGTGAGATGTGTTCAATTGTGTAAATATTGTGTATATGTTACTGGTTAATAACTGATACACTTATGGCACAGCTCAAGTTGAAAAAGTTTCAGGTTTGCCTGAAAAAAAAGCACTTTCATTGAACATTTTTTTGGAATTATTGCAGAGTGAAGACTACAAATACTCCTGTGTCATAGCACAACAGAGTTGTGGTCTCTCTAAGCTAATTTTACTTAGATTGAGTGAAGCAGGCCAGCATAATAGGAGGTCTGAGTACAGAATTTCAAGCCGAATGCTCATTTCTCTCTCATGCTCTATTCTAATTTTATATACTATATAATTCACTTTTTTTATCACTCATATTATTCAATACATCCAAATACAGATGTTAGGAATCATTTTGAGATTCCTAACATCATCAGAGCCTGTCTCTGGCTCTCGGCCATAGGATTTTCTCAGTCCCTGTATGTGTATGGCGCTGTAGCTCAGCCCATCATCGGTCGATTTCAGTCAATAAGCCCTCCTTCGACGCGTCAGAGTCTCAGGAAGGCGTGCGTCGAATTTGGTGTTGATTGACATAAGTTTCAGCCAGTAAAGTTGCAAGAAGTGCCGCGTCTCCCCGTGCGTAAAATTCCATTGGCCGAAAGTCTGACCGCTGGCCCGAGGTGGGTTGACCCCCCTTCCACAGGAAACAGCTCGGCTGTAAACAGGATGCACTTGGCGGCCATGACGGTAGCTCTGAACCGGAGCATTTTCGATGTTTTTGAACTAATATTTCATAAAACCTGACCAAAAACCATGGATTTTTTCCGGTGAAGACCAGTGGCATTGGACCGTTGTACGGTCACAGCGTTGTTGTGCGTCCACGGAGAGAAGGACCGACAGTATGTATGCGTTCTCTGCGTGATGCTAATGCTAAACGATGTCCGGATTAGCCGGCTAGCTGCTAGCTTCATGGTGAAAATATTGATTTGAGGCAGACATAACGCCGATTTCTGCCCAGGATTTCATGCCACATTTTCTAGATGCTTATACTAGTAGTCTATAGTTGTGTTTGGAGTGTGTAAAAAGTGACTTATATGATAGTGTTGCCCATACGTTGCTGTTTAATCCAGAAAACAAACTGGACAGATCCACAATACTGGCGAACAATAAGGCTATTTTCCGAACAATTTTTTCAGGGGGGCTGAGCCAGAGTGCCCCCAAATGGGGGAGACTCATAGCCAGAAGGTTCTTAACTACATAACACGAGCTCTAAGCTCATTAGTATACTTCATTAAAGATAATAATGACTAGATTTTAGGTCCTGCCCACATGGTGACAGACAGACCTGGGTCTGTTGGTCTTACCCAGCAGAGGCAGCAGGACGGGGTAATTGTACGGCATCACAAACAGGTTGACACAGTTCAGAGCCGTGCTGGCCTTCAGGTAGCCGAAGGGTTGGCCCAGGTCGCTGTATTTGGCACTGTTACACACAAACACCTGAAACAGAGACGGAGATGAACGCAAACACACGACACAGAAAGTTTATTAACCGTCTCTATTAGCTTCTCTGCACTTTAAAACATGATGTTCAGCTAAACTACGGCTCAGTGGGAATGTGCATTTATTACTGTAATAATGGACGTAGAGCAAGAAACAAAAAATGGAGGGAAAACTTTCCTATTAGTTGATTACTAGCGGGACAAATAAATGTAAAGTTTGATCTGAATTCAGCAGAGGAAAGATCCCTAAACCTAAAGCTCTTCCATCCTGAAGGGGCTTTCTGGCAGAGCTCAACTTCTCCCATGAGCGTTCATCTTCTGAACCAGTGTAGCATTAAAGCATGGTGGAATTAGCTCGCTAGCTAGCCAACCACAAAATAGGTGAAATGTAACAACTTCATCCACACCATAGACTCTTCTCACAGTGTTGTGATTGCTGGATTATAGGACAGTGATAGTAGCCAGTAACAGCCAATCACAGCACAGTAGGGCGGGACTAAACGGGACACTTTTGGGGACAAACATTTGTTGTGATTTAATCAGGAGACAACCTGTTTCTTTAAAGTGAAGTCAGTGCTTCATGTGTTAAAGCTGCATCCTCTCTAGTGTCCACCAGGGGGTGACTCCTCTGGTTGTATAGAAGTCTATGAGAAAATGACTCTA